CTGCCAGGGCTCTTGCTGGGGACTCCTCTGTGTGCCCAGGAGCACCCAAGGCGCTGGTGTGGGCACTTCCCCAGCAGGGACCTCCCCATATCCCTGCTCCGCAGCCTGCCCAAGCCCACACACCTCCCAGGACCCCGGGCTGTAGCCCTCGCACGAGGTAAGGAGGTGGAAGGCGGAGGTGGAAATAAACTGGGGGGCTGCCCAGAAATTGGCAAGCCCAGAGTGGAGGGTTCCCGATGCCCCATGGGGCCCGGCACCGTGCTGGAGCTCTCCAAGCCCCCCAGGGCGGCCTCCTTAACACCAACGGTAATCAATCACCCATAATCATTTGACACCTCCCTCCTGCAGTACAAGGATCTGTGTGTCTCCTTACACTGTACCCCAAGTGCCTGGCAGCAGTAGGCGTACAATAAATGTTTGCTGGATGAGTGAAGGGATGACATCATGCCTCCCAGACATCAGACAGCCCTGCAAGGGCTATCGCTTTGCAGGGCTACGCCTAGGCCTCCCTGATTCTCCAGGGGCTCTGCTCGAACAGATCACCTCCTGGAAGAGGGGCCCCCAGGGTGCCAGAGCCTCTGTGATCACCTCCCAGGGGGTTCAGGGCCCTAGAGACCTATCCATTTGCAGCTCAAATGCAGAAGACTCTTCCCTCTCACAGGCCCCTACAGCTTAGCTTCCTAAAGACCTCAGTTCTACCCCACGTCTTCCGGTTCCCAGGATCCGGAAGGCAGCTGGAGCACACCCCACCCCTCCTCCATCCCGCTGTTCCTAAGCCTGCTGTCACATGCGGCACTCCTTCTTCAGCACACGTGTCCCTGCCCCCAGGCCTGCATCCTCACAGTGAGGCACCTGCCCAGCCCGTTTCCTGCCATGTGCCTCGGCCTGTGCTGTCCTCTTCTCCCCAGATGTCCTTTGCTCCGTTCCCGGCCTTGCAGAAGCTGCCCGATCTTCAGGGGCCAGCTCCTCCAGGCAGCCCTCCAGGCTGCTCTCAGTCCTGGGAGCCCTGGTCCCAGTTGCAGTGGGTATCGCTCTAAAGAATACCGTCTGCCCACCTTGACCGTTAGGACCCCGGGACCACTGTGCACACCTCTCCTTTTACATTCCCCTACCCAGCATTCACACATGACGGGCTGAATAAGTGATCGAGTGCTACGTTTATATGAGCAACCTGCACAGAAACTGAGGGGTTTTTCCTGCTGGCTCAGGACATCCAATCCTGGAGAGCTACGAGGTTTCCCGAGGCTTTTATATAAATTACTGAAAATGTGGGACTAACTGTGGAGCTCCAATTTCAAGTTTAAGAAAACATGAATTCTACTAAGGAGAATGTGGGCACTAGGGACCGAATGGCGTCCCCGCAACATTCCTGTGTTGAAGCCCTGGCCCCGTGTGACTGCATCTGCAGAGAGGGTCTCCAGGGGGTGACTACGGTTAAACAAGGGGCCCTGATCCTACAGGACTAGAGTCTTTGTAAGAAGAGGGAGAGAGACCAGAGCTCTCCCTCTGCCACACAAGGACACACAGAGAAGGCGCGTGTCTGTGAGCCAGGAAGAGCCCTCACTAGACACCGAATCGGCCAACACACCCCTTGATCTCAGACTTTCCAGCCTTCAAAACTCTGAAAACTAAATGTTGGTTAAGGCACCCAGTCTGTGGTATTTTGTGACAGCAGCCTGAGCCGACTGAGACGCGGCTGGATACGTGGGCCATCAGCTCCATCCTTTGTAACACGTGCGCAGCGTGAATAGGCAGGAGCCTGGAGTGGATTAATATTGACGACATTCATAGCAGGTGCCCCTCGCTAAGTGCTTGCAGTGGGCCAGGTGCTCCGCTAAGCGCTTCTCCTGCACAAGCTTAACCACCCTCACACCCACCCAGCAATGGTGGAAGCTCCATTAGCCCATTTCACAGATGAAGGGACAGAGGCCCAAGGAATAGAGGTTAAGTGACTTGTACAAGGTCACTCTGCCGTGACCACGGTGGGCCCTCAACCCAAGTCTGGCTGGTCCTACAGTCTGTGCACAGCCACCTCATGACGCTGCAGTCAGGGGATGCAGGAAGCTGGCCCTCCTGGGTCCTTGTGGGAAGGAGCAGGGAATGCAGGGTGAGCCCCTTAGGCCCGTCAGGAGCCCCAGGCGCTGCGTGGCATCTGCGTGGGCATGGTCCTCATTGGCAAGCCCCTCGCCGCGCAGGGTGGCCCAAGTGACCTCTTGCCCTGGCCCCTGCAGTCCAGGACTCTCTCTCCATCCTTGGACCCTCATCCACCCCCGAATTCTTCCCCATCTTCTGAGAATACACTGAAGAGACAGACGCGCTCTCTTAGCAAATGGCTTCCGACCCTGTGCTGCCTCGTCTCCGACACCCATCTCCCAACGACAGCCATCCCCACCTAACTTGTCTCCTGCTTTCACTCCACGAATCCTGCAATCCACTAGACACACAGTCGCTAGGGGTGCTTCTTAAAAACACATATCAGATCAATTACACCCTTGCTTTAAACACTCCACTGGTACCCCATTAAACTTACAAGAAAATCCCAGTGCCTGCCCTGGACTGAGGAAGTTCTGTGTGACAGGCCATGCCCACCTCTTGCTCCCTCTCTCCCAAATGCTTTCATTACATCCTTGAACATGTCCAGGTGCATTCTGCCTCAGGGCCTTCGTGCTTGCCATTCCCTCTGTTTGGAACACTTTTCCACCCAGATCTTCCTGGGGTGGCCTCTTGCTTGTGTTCAGGCCTGAGCTCAGAGAGGCCCTCCCTGAGCACTCTCCCGTCATTCTGTTTTAATTCAATGTAGAGCCCTCAGCCTGCTTGATGTTGTAACATGTTTATTCATTTGTTTGTTGTCTCTCCTCCCACTCCTGGAAAAACGTCCATGAGAACAAGGACTTTGTCTACTTGTTTGTGGCACCGCCAGCACCTAGAACGGGGCCTGGACACGGTGGGCCCTCTGTTATTTAACGAATGAATAAATGTGAATGAATAAATGAATGACGCAATCTTCTTAAAGACAAATGAAGAAAATCCCCCAAATGCCCATCGTCTGTCTGCAGCCCCACCTAGTACCCTCTCTTCCCACCTTTACCCTGAAATAAGTCCTCTCAGAAGCCCAAAGGGCCCCTCCGCCTCACTGCCCAGGCCGGGACCACGTCCTCAGCCTGCTGCAAAATAAGAACCATTTTCAGTGGAAATGTCCCGCAGCCCAGCCCAGGGCTCCAGGGTACCCTGGGGGGAGGGGTGGTGAGAGCGTCTGGAAGAACACTGCCACGCACCCCCACACCCAGCTGGGGTCCTCCCCTGCGACTGCCACTGTTGCCTAGGAAATGGCTCTCCCAGGAGCAGCTGCCTTCTCCTGCAGCAGCCAGGGTGGTGGCAGCCTGCCTCTGTGGCACAGGCCCCGGGCTTTCCCAGGGGAAGCAGATAAGGCTCTGCCCCTCCTCACGGCCCCGGAAATCTGGAACAGTGACAGCAACTGTGGGGCTGAGAGGCAGAAGGAGATAATGGGCTGCGGGGTCCCGTTCCCCAGGCAGAAGTCACAAAACATAACCCCACCCACCCACGTCCGGGGAGGAAGACATTCCCGAGTCCCCGTGCCTGCCACCTACAGTGGTCTCTAGTCCAGGGCCCATGGAGGGTTTGAGGAGGAGCCGGCACAACTGACACCCCGTCAGCCCTCCATGGTTCTTGGAACAATTAATCCGCATTCCTCGGCCCAGTTCACCACCTGTGATGGAGCAAGAAAAAAAATGACCATAACTGAAATCCTGGTTTTCCCACTTATTAACTGGGTATATCAACCTCTTTGCATCTTGTTTTTCTCATCTGGCTTTTGAATGCCACTGAAAACGCCCGGCTGCCAATGGCCCTGATGTCCCAACTCCATGTTCACTTCTTTGACTTCTCCATCTTTTACAGTCCTCTCAACCCTTACCACCCAACCCCTTGTCCTCTCCCCTCTGTTACTTCTTCCTGGAATTTATTACTTCCTGAAGTCATCTTATGTATTTGATCTTTACTTGTTTTTTAGTTCCCTCACCCAATGTCATCTCAAGAGAGAGGCTTCCTCCTCTGTCTTCACTATTGTTAACTCCAGGCTTAAAACAGTGACTGGCACCTGGAAATGACTTTAGGATGGGTTCCAACAAAACTAGGGTGAAAACAAAAAAGAAGAAGACGTGGTATCTTGGGAATAGTGTCCCTGCCCTAGGAGGTCAGCAAAAGGAAGTCCCATGATAACAGCTGTGCAGCAACCAGTCTAGGCTGGAGCAGGAATGAGAATCTAGAAGGGCTTCTACCAGGGGGGAAAAAACAGCCCCCAGTGATAGAGAGTAAAATCGAGATGCTAAATAAGCTTTAGGATTATTACTCTTTGGGTGATAAGAAAAAGAAGGGCAATTAGAAACTCCAGGAAAAACTAAAAGTTATACTTAAGTCTTGGACTCAGCATATTACTAAAACAGCACAACGAGTACAAGAAATGGAAAAAATCTATTTGATCTTACTGCAAAGATCATTCAGCTTTGAGTGACCAGGGGTCAAGAGAGCAGACCAACAGAATAGGAAATGCAATCCTAGCATACTATTTGGCTCTGATGAAAAGACTACTTAACTAATAACAACTATTAAATAATACCATTTATTGAGTGCCCACATGCCTGGCAAGGTTTTAAGAGCTTTGCATTTAATAATATTTAATCCTTATTGCTCTCTGATGGACATATTATCATTACCCCTATTTTACAGATGAGGAAGATGAGGCTTGAGATATTGAACAAGTTTTCTGAGGTCATACAGCTGGTGGAAGAGCTAAATTCACACTCAGGCTAGGAGACTCAGAGGTCCACTCTCCAGAACTGGCCCTAGAAGCAAGGGCATCAGATTTTCAGGCCCTAGTCCTTCTCGCCAAGCAGCAGAGGATACCACGTGCATGCACGCATGTACACACACAGAGCAGCAGAGCTGGTGCAGGCTGGGCAGCCAGAACGGCAGGGCCTTACCTTCCGGCAGTCTTTGCAGAACACTGACGAGCTGCCCAGGAAGCCCAGCACCTCCCCGCAGAGCAGACACTGGGAGAGGCCGTTCCCCATCACGTTCCGCCTCATGGTCTCCAGCCGCTCCACCAGCCGCCTGCAGCACAGGACGTGGAGTCAGAGGGAACGTGCTTCCTGTCTCCAACCCAACCACTGCTGGGCACAGCCGCCCTGTGTCCCCAACACTATACCACGTCACCTGTGATGTGCCCTCATGTGGGGTGCCGTTCCCTGCCCCGCTCCTTCCGCTGGCTAGCCCCTAATCGTTCATTCACTTGCCAGCTATGAACTGAGCACCTACGATGGCCAGACACTGGGGATATCGTAGCAAAGAAGCCAGAGACAGACAGGGTCCCTGCTCTCACAGAACTTATGTTCAATAAGGGAAAAACCCATGAACAAGGAAACAAGCAAACTGATTGCAGACAGGAGCAGCACTATGAGATGAAAATCACAGGGGCAAGGAGGGCAGAGAGTCTGAGGGGGCAGGCGCATGTTCGATGGTGACCAGCGAAGGCTCTCAGAGAGCACAGGAAGTGAGAGCTGAGGAATGACAAGGACCAAACCGCAGGAAGAGCCGGGGAGCAGCCCAGGCCGAGGGAACAGCAGGGGCCAGGCTTGGGGCTGAGAAGGGTTCGGCACAGCAGTAAGGAGGCCAGTGAGGCCACCGCCTCAGGAGTCACAGGGAGACCGGGGTAACGTGCGGCTGGAGGGGCGGGCAAGGGCCAGAATGTGTCGGTTTTGTAGGTCACACAGTGGAATTTAGATTTTTCTCTAAGATCAACGTGAAACCCCTGAAGAGTTTTAAGGAGGGGAGTGATTTGATCCAAGTAACATTTTTAACACTTGCTCTGGCTTCTGGGGGAAGCTAAAGGGGAGGAGAGGGGAGGGAGGAAGCTGGGGGAGGCGGTGGGGGGGTCTGGGAAGGAGGATGCAGACGGGGACAGGCTGTATTTCAGAGGCAGCTTCCATGGATCCAAGGCCGGGGGAGGAGAGAGCAAGATCTAGGATGATGTTGGCACAACCTGGCAGATGGAGAAGCCGGAGGAAGAAAGAAAAAACAGCTCCTCTTGGAAACCTCGAGATGTCAAGTATCCAAAAGCCTTCCCCCCCCACACTGAGCCTGGGTAGGGCAACTCTCCTGGCGGCCACTCCTCACATTGTGACCTGGTTACACAAGAACCTCCGTGAAATTGTTCTGTTTTGTTGGCCACTAAATTCCTAGTATCCAATGGACACTTGGTGAAAATTCTTGAATGAAGGACAAAGTATGAGCACCTGATCTCCTCTAATCACACAACTCCCGGGAGGAGGATGCTATTTTTCCCATCTTAAAGATGAGAAGACTGAGGCTCAGAGATATGAAGTTCCTTGCCAGGGTCACACAGCTCCCAGGAGGTGGAGCCAGGGTCTCCCCGTCACAGCCCCACACGTTTCCCCGAGGAGATGAGGTGCTGCTGGGGCCTCGGGAGAGCAGACTGGGCAACGAGGCTGCCTCTACCCACATGCCCCCCAGCAAGCTCTTCTGACTTCCACAGGGGTCACTGTCCTTCACCCAGGGACCGCAGGGCCTGGGGACAAACCCAGCTTCAGCCCTGGCACAACCCCTTGCCTCGGGGACCCTCTGCCAGTACCAGCCTGTGTCTGTCTCCATGCCTCATATGAACGCACAGGACGCTCCTCCTCCAGCGGAACGATCAACTCCAGGCACTGCCTTCTGGGTCACTCTGCACCCCCGCCAAGCCCAGCCCTCACAACCTGGGCAGGACAGCGGAGGGATTCCCCGGGGCGGCACAGGAAAGGCAAAGACAGCAGCCCTGATGCCTGCGGGGCCACAACACTTCCATGGCACAAGGGAGGCCGCCATGGAACAACCCCCCCAGGTCCCTGGGTGCCCTCCTGCGGGAGCCTGGGTCAGCAGAGAGCCTGGCAGGGCCGTCGGGGCGTAGGTCTGTGAGAGGGCAGGGCCCTAGCCAGGCTAGATGGAAAAAGAGCAAAATATTAATAAAACTAATCTGATGTAAACCCTTTTGTACTAAAATGATAGTAGTATGTCCACATAATTGAGGCACACACAGCAGTGATCACTACAGTGGTACTTTTACTTTCTAAAACTGTGTGTTTCTACAATGTCTGATTTTTTTAGGAAAAGATAAAGGACAATAAGACCAGAATCACATTAATTCCTGCCATGCATGGCATTTGTGTTTTCCTATTTGCGCTTTTCTGTGTTTTTCAGATTTTCTAGGAAATATGAATTGGTTTTGTAATTAAACAAACAAAAAAAGACACACAGCAACGACGTTGGAAGCGGAGCTGTGGTCAGCTCTGGAAGCCGGAGAGCTCACGGCAAGCTGGAGAGCGCCTCCTGCTGGGGCCTCTGGGGGCGAGCCCCGGTTCAGCCTCTGCTTGAATCCCTTCCTCAGTGAACCACAGCCCACAGTCCCGAAAGCCTTTCACCACTCCCATGCGCGCCCCCACGGCCTGGGGCCCACGTCTCAGCTGCTAGCCCCATCTTACAGAGGGGTACACTGAGGCTCAGAAGAGCTGGGTTTCGGGCTACACTCTGGGGCGTTCAGACACAGAAGCTGGGGAAAGCTTGAGCCAGTGACCCCCTGACCCACTCCCAGAGGTGAAACTCAGCTCTGGGACCCAGAGCGCCAGCTCCTCAGCCGCTGGCTGGCGCTGTCATCCTCCTGAGCTCGCTCCTGCCAGCCCGGGCCCAGCCCTCACCCAATTCTCTGCTGCTCCAAGATGTCCAGCCGCTCCGCCCTCTGGATGACCTGCAGGATGGCCTCCACCTCCGCCGGGCGGAGGCACTGGCTCCTCCTCTGCTTCTCTGTCTGGTAGGTGTGCACGGACCAGCCCGTCTGCAGCCTCGAGAGAGCATAACACAGATGGCGTAAAGGCCACCCTAACACAAACTCAGGCGCCCCTCACTGTGTCTACAAAGCCCCCCAGAGGACAGTCTGTGGACAGCCAGGTGCTGTGTGCTGGGGAAAAGGGTTGCGGGCAAAAGATGGGGCAGGCGCAGGCTCCGAGTGCCACTTTGCCATCCACCGGCAGCTGGGGCTCGGCAAAGACGGGAGCGCCGTCTTAGCACCGCAGCAGACGGCCTCTGCCCTCAGCCTGCCTGCTCCCGTGGGCTGGACAGACTCAGGGCTTTCAGGCACTGAAAAGCAACACGCCCACCCCACCCCTACCTGCTGGTTTGCTGCATCTGAGCATTTCAGAGACTCAAGTGGTCTGTGATGGGCCAGGACACACCTGATGCGGCCCCCTGGGCCAGGAAAAGGGAATTGGAAGCCAGGATCCCCATGCTTAGGGGATACCCACCCACCCCCAGCTAGTGGGGAGAAAGGAAGGGCCCCAGGAGTACACAGAAGGGAGGGCATAAGCACCAGCCCCAACACTGCCACCTGTCCTGGTGGGCAAGACTCCCGCTGAGCTCGTTCTCGGGCCAGCGCCAGCCCAGGGCGCCACAGACATCCTGCTGGGCAGGCCTCCCCATTTTTCAGAGGAAAGGAGGTGTGGAGTGCAGCTAGGTAGCCAAAGGTGATAGGGTCGGCCAGCCTCCAAAGGCTGGGCTTTGCCGCTGACCCAGAGGCCAGAGCCCTGAGCCGGGGAGTTCATGGCCAGCAGCTGCCAACGGCCCTGCCTGGGAGTATTTCAGGCTCCCCCAGGGCAACCCCCACACCAGCTTTCCTGCCTCCCTCTGATCAGCCACCAAGCCCCAACCATTTATGTCCTCTCATCTGGCCTCCCACCGGGCCCCTGCCACTGTCCAGGTCAGGGCCCAACTCCCACTCATGGCCACAGCTGCCTCTTAGCAGGCAAGGTCCCTGCCACACAGCAAAGGAAGCAGACCCGAGGCTGCATGACACAGAAGGGAAGGGCCTGCAGTGGCAGCCACACCCAGGAGACCCACCCATACACACCCCTGCACGGCAGCCTCGTCTCTGCTCCCCTGCTCTCACCAAATGCTCTTGGTTCCCTTGCGTTCTAGGCCATGTGCTGTCACCTCAACCTGGGGAGGTTGTCCCTCTCTCTAAACCCTCTTTCACCTGCTCACATCTACTAAGACTTTTTTAGACATGACCTTCACCAAGAGGCTTTTCCTTGATCCCTTCCAAAACAAGTTAAGAATTCATTCTCAGCGTTCCTACAAGGCTCGGGCAAATGTCCACCTCTGGGCTTAAACACTGTTCTGAGGCAATGTGGGACCCTCCATCTCCCCCTCCATAATGTAAGTCCCTGGAGGACCAGGCTGTGCCCTCTCTGACCCTCCTCCATCTTCCTCTCAGGCCATTCATCCCTCACTCTCTGCACTGACCAGCCACACTGACCTGTCGAGCCCTTGACACACCCTGTCCCTTCTACCTCAGGGCCTTTGCACATGCTGTTCCTTCTGCTTGGAAACTCCTCCCTCGTATTTCCATCTAACATTTACCCCTCCTCTGGGTATCACACTCTTGGGGAAGCCTCTCCTGACCCCCAGACTAGGTTAGCACCCCCTCACCACCTGTTATCACTGTCAAAGCAGCTGCATGTGGGTAATCATTTGGATACTGCTCACCTCTCCCCATCTGTGCTACAAGACAAGAGACCATGTTGGTCTTGTTGGCTGCTATGCAACCAGTGCCTGGCACATAGTAGGGGTTTAGAAAACATCTGCTGGAAGCTAGAGGGGAGCCCCAGGCTGCAGCTGGGGGAGGTAATGTCCCCAGGCTTCCCGGAGGGTCCCATGGGCCACAGCTCCTGGCTCCCGGCTCTGCAGCCCTGGGGATTTGCACTACTCTCCTTTATGAAGACTGTGCCAGGCATTACAAAGCAGCACACCCAGGGGAGGAGATAAAAGCATTCGCTCTTCTAAAAGGTGCTACAACAGCTTTAGGCTGCTGCTGAGCGAGAGACAAGGTCAGGGAGAACTGAAGGGAACACTGTGGGGCCAGGAAGGGTCCGGCCAGGCCCTTGTACAAGAGCACAGGCAGTGTCCCTGCCCCAGAGGACACTTCTTCTGCCTGGCTGCAGAGGAGAGAGAGGGAGGGCACCGATCCATCCCTGGTCACTCTCCCTGCGGGGCGGGACGGGGGAGCTGAAGGGAGCTGAGCCATCGTGCCAAAGAGGACAAATTAAATGTAGTGCACAGATTCCTGCAAATCATGCGTGACTCCACAATTCTTGGGCGTTTTGGATTAATTTTTCTATCTGCCTTTGATGTTTCAGCTCTGTCCTCTGCAGGCTCATAACATCTAATTGCAAATTTCTTGAATTTGGTCCCCTTCGGGACATGCTGGCTCCTGTAACTGGCACAGTTTGGCAGAGGAAGGAGCACTCTCATCAGACGCCAGGGACCCCTGAGCCCCTCGGAGGGCAGGGAGGGACTGGAGGGCAGGAAAGGCATCTCAGAGGCCCCGTCTCCAGCCACAATGGACAGTGGGGGGAGATGGCCTGACTTGCCCAGAGCTGAGTGACAACAAGAGAACTGGGACCCCCAAGGGAACAGACTGGAACCAGGGAGCTAGAGACTCTAAGGAGAACATGGAAGAGACCCCAGGACAGCTCGGGGCTGGCAGCGTGCTTCAGCCCAAGGGGTAGCTCTTCACTCATGCAACAAACCTTTGCTCTGTCCTTTCTGACAGAGGCCAGCACTTGGCTATGAAGTGGGCATCCCAAGACCAAGGGCTCCCTTTCTTCAGGGGCTCTTGGACTTAAGGCTCAGTGACAGGAGAGAAAGCCAATGAGGTGGTCTGGGTCCCTGCAGTCTGCTGCGATAGCAAGAACGCAGGTCTGGGAGTCAGGCAGACGCAGGTGTGGGTCTCAGCCCTGTCACTCACACGAGCAAGGAGCTCAGCCTCATTTTCCTCATCTGGAAAACGGGGTTAGATTCTGCCCGGTGGTTAAATGCGTGAATGGCTGTCGAGTGTCTAGTTCAGGGCTTGGGGTGTGGCGTGCATTTGACAGGCACTTGTCTCCAAACATCCCTCTTCTGGGTCCCTGGGAATGAATCTTGCCACAGAAAGGAGGGAAGCAGGGAGGGAGACGGGATGGAAGCCCGGCGGGTACTCACTTGGCTCGCAGGGCCAGCTGCCGATCATTGGGGCAAACCCACTGATCATTCCCGCTGCCGAAGATGGTGTCGGCCATGGCTCAGAGCACCCCACCAAGGGCGGAAGTCACATCTGAGATGAGAAGAGGGAAAAAGAAAAGGGGTGCGTCACTGGGTGGGGTGCAGATGGCAGACGGGGCTCCTCTGAACTCAGGCATCAGATACTTGATACTTTGAACCTGTCTCCACTCGCCATCCCCCACTGATGCCTGGAATTGCACCTTTAGAATCACTCCTCCAGCAAAACACTGCCCCTCAAAGCTGCTTCTCAAAAGGCTGCTAATTCTGGGAGGGGTGACTAGGTGCCTCCTGTGGCTAAACAGGAGTGAATGTGACTGGGCCGACATCACAAGGTTAGAATCAGAGAGAAGAGAAGAGGCACACCCTCAGTAAGGTTCCACTCAGCTGGCCAGCCCTAGAGGGCATTTGATCCCCCCTTCCCAGCACAGCTGTACTGAGCACATCTCCAAGAGGAGCCCGGGCCAGGGGCAGATGGCTAGGCAGCCTGGGCAAACCCTACACTGCTCCCAAGCCTGGGAGATCTGAATGGTGGCCCCAGGCACATGGGTTCTCCTCCCAGAGGGCAGGGAGTGGCAGCTGCAGCCAGGACTGTACCTGGCACAACACCAAGGGGCACTGTCCACAGGGACTGCAATGAGAATGGCACCCCCTAGGAATCCTACAGGGAAGATTCCTGCTCTAGAACCACCTGATGACTTAACCTGTGCACAGTCTAGCTTAGCTGGCTTTCTCCTTGCTACGAAGGATAGGACCAACTCTTCGATCATCTATTAATGAGGTTGCTGCTCATGCATTCCAGAGTGTATGCGTGTGTCGGGGGGGAGAAAAAGGAAGGTGGGGAGAGAGAATGGAGTTTAAGGCTATCTCCATCCCAGAGCAAGGATGAGGGGCTACACTCCCTTGGTCTAACCCCATCTAGACCCGTGGTTTGCAAACTCAGGACCCCTTTACGCTCAAAATAAAACATTGAGGTTGGAAATCCATTTGACACTTCCTCAAAATATTAAACATATACTTCCCATATGACCCAGAAACTCCACTCCTAGGCATAGAGCCAAGAGTACTGAAAACACACGTCCTCACAAAAACCTGTACACAAATGTTCTTAGCAGCATCACTTGTAACACCCAAAAAGTAGAAACAACCAATGTACCCATCAACTGACGAATGGATAAAATGTGCCATATCCTTCCTATGGGATATTATTTGGCCACAGAAAGAAATGAAGTACTGATACCTGCACTACGACATGGGGGACCCGTGAAAACACCGTGCTAAGTGAAAGAAGCCAGACACAAAAGACCACATAGTGTATGACTCCATTTATGTGAAATGTCCAGAATAAGCAAATCTATAGAGATAGAAAGTAGATTAGTGGTTGTTAGGAGCTTAGAGAGTGACTGCTAATGGGTTCAGGGTTTCTTTTTGGGGTGATAAAAATGTTCTGGAATTAGACAGTGGTGATGGTTGCACAATTTTGTAAATATACTAAAACCCCTTTAAAAGTGTGAATTTTATGGTATGTGAATTATAACTCATTGATATAAAAAATTCCTTGAGGACCCAAAAATATATGGACTATATTTATTAATATTTACCATATTAGAAATTAAAACTGAGAAATTTAAAAAATTCATTAAAAATAATAAACCCCCACTGCTTCACTTGACTAGAAAAAAAAGAGAAAAAAATAAACCAATTAGATGCTAACATAATTTACATAGTTTATGAAAAAACTATATTTTAAAGATAAAAATAATTAGTGGGATGAATGACATTGTTTTACATTTTTACAAATTTATTTAATGTTTGGCCTAACAAAAGACAGCTGGATGTACATACCTGATTTTGCATTCAATCTTTTGTGACGTATTGTTTTGTTAAAGTCCATGAAGGACATCCAGACTCTCACAGATATGTATGATAGTTAGGAAAGGGAGGGGTATTTTAACAGCCTTTCTAGATAATTGTGAACGTTTTTCTTTCATACTGCACCCAAACTCAGATGGTAGTTTCTTAAAGATTAGCTCCACTGTGGCATAGGAAACCATATCAATGAACTTTTCATTTTCTATTTATCTGTGAGGAATGAGACTAAGAGTTGTATTATTCTTATCATGAAAATAGTTTTGACTTTGTGAATCCCCCTGAAAGGTGTTGGGGAGCCCCAGAGATCCCAGGATCATGCTTTGAGAACTGCTTTTCCAGACCAATGTCACCCATTTCCATGATGACCAGCAGGGGGCAGCATGGAGGCAGCAGCCAACAGATCCACCCGGGGACCAAGCCCATGACCTTAACCACACCGGTCTCCATCCCACCGGCACATCCAGGCACCTGCTCTTCCAGGTTGGACCTGACACTCGTCTGTGGGCTGCCTCGGGAAAGAGATCTGGGCAACCCCAGAGCCCAAAGACCCAGATGTGGAGACCCCACGGCCAGGCCCAGGGCTGGGGAGGCCTGGGGTACCCCAAGTCCCCAAAGGCCCCCTCCAACATAGACTCTTGACTGTCTCCCATATGAGGCCAATGTACAACCCAGGAAAACAAAGACAGGGTCAAAAATGACACGCTCATCAAGTAACTTTAAACCAGCACCCCATTTCCAGCTTTTTGCGCATTCATGGTTTGTTTTGCTTTGTTTTTTTTTTTTTTTAGGTTCGTTATCTGGTGAATAGCACAGTCACACCGCTCCATGTGGGTGTGAAAAGCGTTACTCTGTTCAGAGTAAACATTTAAAGCTTACCACAGCTCAGTAGCCGTTTCTTTTTCTTTTCTTTTTTAAATATGCTGGGAGCTTCAAGAAATGGCAGTGATGGGGATCTTACCAACAGAGAGGCCGTGTCCTGGGCAAACTGCGCATCCAGGAGCCCAAGGGTTTGGCCTTACAGGCGCCGGTCCCGCCACAGCCTGCAGGGGGCGCCACGGCCTGGGTCACTGCTCCTCAGGACTGCAAGCCCTGAGCCTTCCCGCCATCCTGCTGCGGCTGGGCACAGCAAGATGCCCCCTCTGCCCTGCCAGGTACCCCACAGAGGCAAGGATGCTCCAGGGGTGACCCCAGGGGGAGGAGCAAACCAGGGAGCCTCAGGGTGGGAACTCCTCCATAGGAAGACCCCATCCTCTGCGGGCTGGGGAGCGGGGAGGGAAGGCAGGGAGAAAGAGGGAGCCCTGTGCTCTGATGCTCAACTTTCATCTCCCTGATGGTGGGGCAGGCGGGGGGCATCCAGGACACGGCAGCAGTGATTAAAGGTACAGATGATCCTTGCAGCCCCCAACAAATCACTCCCATGTGAATCTCTAGGGGATGAGCCCCTTTGTCACCTTTGGGTTACTTCCTTGTGGGGCCAGACTTTGGGGATCACTGGTAAGGGAACCCCCAAACTGACATTTATCTGTCCTCTGACCCATCTGGGGTCTATTCCTTTTTTTTTTTTAACTTTAGCCAAAACAACTCATCAATCGGCATCTACACACAGGCTCTTCTGTTCTTCCTAAATCTAATCATCACTCTTTCTGCCCGACAGATGAGAAAGAGAGAAATTAAGAGACTAAGAAGAAGAGACCACAGCTGCTCGTGCTGGCCAACTAATCCGCAGACCAGCATTTCTCTGCACCACGTCACCTTCTGTGGACGTGTAAGCACAGAGGGAAGGGCTCAGTGGCAGCGAGGAAGGTGCAAAGAAAAAGGCCTGTGAAAGTCTGGCTTTTCTGTAAACCTACTAGAAGTCCAGGAACAAATTGATCATCTTCCTGGGCCTCAGTTTCCATACTGGTACCCAAGGGAGCTGAGACAGACAGGCTGGAGTGATCGCCCCGTGCAATTCCAACACCTGACTCCAGCCCTGCCGACTTGCATCAGGGAGGCAAGGGTGGCAGCAGGGGACAGGAGATCAGTCCTGGGGCGGGAGGCTGGTGGCCTGAGCCCTACTCCAGCCTAGTCCACAGGGCAGAGAGGAAGGGGGGGGGTGCAAGAAATACACCCTCTGTGCCCCCAACCCTCTCGCTCCCAGAGTTTCAGGGAAGAAGAGCCACAGAGTCAAATACCACGGAGAAGTCAAGGGAGATGGAAGGATGTCACCTCCAGGCTGGGGCACTGGCTGGGCAGGCTCATCACAGATGGCAAGTCTGTGGCTGACCACATCCATCCATGGGATGGCTCTGAGTGAAGGTTAGAAACGGAGACCCAGGAGTTCAGGCCCCAGTTCAAGGACTGCTGTCCCCCTTTCCCCCAGCTGCAGCTGGCGCCTAAGAAGGTATGGCCATCCTCTGCCCTCACGGAGCAACCTCAGGACAGACTGTGGGAGAGGAAGGGCAACTCTCCAAACCCCTTCAGTCTGAGCTGGCGGCCGGCTCCCTGACTCAGTGCCGACCAGGGCCTCACCAGCCGACCCCTGTCCCTGCCCCCCGGCACCCCCTTTGCCAGTGGGCCCCTCTGCCAAACTGTGTGCTCAACACCACCCACACACACCTGGGCTAGGAGGGGCAGGGAGTTTGACCCACACCCTCTTAAGACCTGGGTCCTTAAAACTTCCAAGGAGCAGTGCCAAGTGCACTAAATGCGGACTTACACCTTTGTATAAACAAAGGGCGATTTGTTCTGGGCAAAAATTAACTGATAAGAGAACAAAACAGGGGCTCACAGAAGGTGAGTGAAAAAGCAGAGAAGCAACCCCCAGATTCAGGAGGGGAGGATGGAACTGGCCTGGAGGGGTGCAGAAGGTTCTGTGGACGGAGGGCTGCGTGGGCTCTGGCCACTTCCTAGGGAAACTGGGACAAGTGACCCCAAGGACCAGGTCTGCGTGAGGTCCTCCCAGCTGGGACAGGCGAGAGGCTAGCCGAGAGGGCTGCGTGGCACACGGGTGCACGTGCACGTTCAATGAACACAGCTCAAGGCTGCTGCTGAGGAAGGTAGACCCGTCGTGGGGAGGGTGGGCATTCTACCTGGGAACCAGCCCAGAGGTCCTCGGTTCTACTGACATGTTCCATTTCTTCTTCCCCACTGGACCGTGGGCTCCCTGGGGGAGATGGGGGGGAGGGGGGGCCTGAATCCACC